TTTGAAACAGGGCTGAAACAGAGGGGATTATGGGATGCTACAATGGGTGAGACATGTTTTGTATATATCTGAGACCTATAAGATATTGATGAAAAACAGTATGATAGGGGACCTTTAAGTTGCAAAACAACTGCAAGCCTGCATTACACTTAAACTCAGATATACTGTAAGATATGTGTAAATCCTTGATCATAAACCGTGTTCCTAATATTTATATGCCAATAACAGTGTTGCACAGTGGGGGACAAATAGCTTCGACTGGCTCAGAAAACTTCATTGTAATTACTTACTCAGTCACAAATCCACTAAACAGGCTCTCAGGTTTAACAGACTTTGGTTCACAATAACTACAAGAAGGTCCTTCAACTGGTGATCTGTCTTCCTGGACTCCTTCTCCATCACTACATAAACAACACTCAGGCTGTGTTGCCAGATGGAGAACGATAGCGCTCCATGATCCAGGCCTCCTGGCCAACGGAGCAGGGGAGAGGCCGTGAGAGCATGCGACGGGATGGCTCATCAACCAACACAGCGAACATGGAAAGAAATTAGACCGGTGGTAGTCACTGGAAAACTATCATGCAAACAGAACTGGCTGGTGAAAGGCCAGGATGCTGTTAGGGAGCCATAGTGAAAGCATTGGTTCCATTTGGGAAGTTAGAAATTGTAATTAGCGTGACTGATTAGACACAATTTAAAACTAATAAAGCCTTATCTTACTCTTGCTTTATGCCAATTTCATTTTTATTCTTTGGAAAAATTAAGGAGATTATTAAAAGACACTAACAACATCTTGTGAGATCATCTAAAAAAAAAAACGACTTGGGTAGCTACAGGCATTTCCAATGTGAATATACACACAGTAATTGCTGTGTGTATATTGGGTGGGCTAATTCTAATGTCCTCTGCAGACAGTCTAGCTTCCAAGATATTTAACACTTGGAACTGAGACTTTTTTTTAAGGACACATTAGGGAATTGTGGAGGAAAGAAGAGAAGAAAAGGCCTTCTTTCACATATGTATAGTGTCTGAATAACCAACAGTTAAAGTAACTTGTGGTGTGTGTCTTTGTATATCTGTGTCCATGTTTTGAACACTGCATTATACGCATTTACAGGCAGATGCTTGCAGTCTCTGAAAGCAGAGGACAGGTCTGAGCTACAGTAATGAGAAGCACATGTGTTCCAGGAGACTAAACCTCCTCCAAGTTCATCTTCTTTTGGCTAAACACTTTCATCCTCACCTCAATCCATCAGTGTCCTTCCTTTCATCAAGCTCTCTAAGCATGTGTGTTATGTAAATGAATATGCATATAATGTGTGTGGTATGTGTATATACATATATAGCAGGGCTTCTCAAATTCCTGACCAAGGTCTGGATCCGGACCTAACTGCAAATCAATCCGGACCGAACCCTGTGCCCCATTATATATAAAAAAAATATATATATATTTTTTTTAAATGTCGGTCTCCCCCAAAAATTCTGATTCTGATGTAAATTGTTTGGTATTTAAAAAGAAACTTCACAGACATGTTTTGTATAGGTATGGCCCTACAATATATTTTTTCCAATATAGCATAATAAATCCTCTTTACAGTTCCCCCATTGTAGCCATGCCTCATACTGCTCATACCCCTCTTTTGCAGCCCTGTTAGAGAAACGCGGATTTTGGGTCCTTAGCTTGAAAAAAAAAAGAGGAGGCGGAGCTAATGCCTGATCAGAATTCTACCGGAGATAAAGTTAAATTCTGCTGTGATAAAACGCCATCCTGTTCTAAACCACATCAAAGATTATTTCTGAAACAGTATGGATCTCAAATGCTTTTTCTCTTGGGGGATTATCAATAGACGGAGTTTGACATTTGCGCTTGGGGGGGCAAACCTTTTTTACTGACGTCAGTACACAGCC